CGTGAAAATTCTTTTTAAAGGCAAATTGGCCCCTCCCCAAAACGGGATCCTGGTTTCGGGACTATAACAGCAGTAGAATTTAATAATTTTTTTCATTTTTATTATATTTTAAGTTGGTTAATTAGCCGACTTGCGGTGTACCGACGGGACTAAAAAACCGAGTCGATCATTACCGCAAAATACTTTTATGAAAGTACGGGAAGCGAAGAGTGCGTTGGTGGCATCGATTTATGATTTTGAGGTCCCGACCATTTAATTTGGGTAGCCCGAAGTTGAGAGAAAAATGGCAGTGGCGGTGATTTTATTTTCATTTTCATGTCTAGACTTCGGGTAACCGTCGGCCCTCGTTAGGCGTGCTAAAAATTAGCGGGAGTGCTTTCTTGAAAGCACTAGAACAGTAGAAGCCGTTCGTATAATTTATTTCACGTTTAGAAGTTTCGAGCATTTATTTTGAGAAGCCCGAAGTCGAGTGCGCATAATAGAAGAATAAAAAGTCGTTTTGTGGGGTTCCGTAAGGTTGCGTGTGACCTCGGTTTAACGAGAATCGAGTTGGAGCGTGTAGACAATTTAAGCACGATTCCATACGGACAAATTTCACATTTTTCGGAGTTCCAAGCATTTTATTACGGGAGTTTGAATTTCTCGTTATATAGTATCAAAAGGAGCAAATTTGTCGAGGACGAGTTCGATCGTTCGAGGCTTTATTTTCTCAATTTTTTCAGCTTTTCGTCTATTCGAAAGGAGGTATAATTCTTGATTATTATTACAATTGAGTCCAAGATTTTATTAGTATAAATTCGAGAATTTTTCGAGTTAAAACAATTCAGTTTAAGTATACCAGTTTAATTCCGGACTTAGTTTGATTTTTAGAAAAATCTCTAGAGTATTTCTTTATATCCTGCGAAAATTTTTGATAGCGTACACAAAAGCCCTTTGAGCGTCCTTCCGATGCCGGAGTGGGGGTGGTGCGCCGCGGCAAATTGGGCCCTCCCCGGGATGACCGGCTGGTTTCGCCACTGATCTCGAGCCCACCTGGCGGGTCCCGCCTTGCGTAACACTCTTGAACTCGAGATATGATTGACAGGCGCGTAGTTTCTCGTGTACTCTGCTGCAGATAATTTACCGTAATCGACAAACTTACGGTTCCTCGGCTTCAGAATCGGTTTCCATGGCTCGGGACCTGAGAGAAAACCACACATGAACTAAGGAAAAAGAAAAAAAACACGA